TGATCAGCCACGTTGACCTTGGGATACCACCACCGAGGTCGGACTTGCCAACTTTGCCTGGGCGACCATCGCACTCCTTCGCAGATCCTCGTCACCCAGGTAACCTGGTCGACCGGGCAACCACGTCGACTAGCTGCTCCCGTATGTGCCCGTCGACCTCCCAAGTCGACGGCCACCTCTAGTCAACCTGACCAGGTCGACCACACCCTTGGTCGACCAGCTCCAGGTCGACGTCACTCCTGGTCGACCAGCTCCACGTCGACCAGCACTCCTGCCTGCCGACCACCCAAGTTGGCTGCCCCAAGTTGGCGCCACCAAGCCGACGCCCTCCGCAGGTCGACTTCCTAGGTCGACCTTCCTGAAGTCGGCGCCCGTGCAATGTCCCCCGTGCAGGTCGACCTCCTCGTCAACCAGCTCGCCCACTGTTGCAGGTTGGCTGCTCCCCTCACACCCGACCACGAAGTCGGCTCCGCCCAAGCGAGAACAGGGCCTACTCAGACTCCCGTTGACAGAACCAGCCACAGTGGAAGAGGCACTGAGTGGAACCCAGAAAGAGGAGTGGGAGGCTGCCATGGATGCGGAGTACTACTGTCTCATAGAGAATGAGACTAGGGAGGTTGTTGAGTTACCTGAGGGACGACGGCCGTTCGGCAGCAAATGGGTCTTCAAGGTGAACACTGAGCTGATGGTGGATTGGAGTGGTATAAGAGCCGCTTTGGTTGCCAAGGGTTTTCAGCAGAATGAGAAGATCAACTTCAAGGAGATCTTTGCTCCTGTTGCAAAGCCAGTGACACTGAGGAGATTGCTTGCGGGCGCAGTTGTGAAGGGATGGCAAGTGAAGCAGATGGAAATCACTACAACATTCCTCAATAGAGTGCTGTTGGAGAATCTCTACTCGGCATAGCCTGATGGCTATGAGGATGGGACCAGCCGGGTGCTGTGTATGGCCTTAAGTGAGCCCCTATGTGCTGGTACAAGAAGCTGGAGAAGGTGCTGCTGGATGGAGGTTTCAAGGCGTCCCAAGTAGATCACAGCTTGTTCCCTCCATGGAGAAGGGGAGCAGCAGCTCTTGCTGCTGGTGTATGTCGATGACATACTTCTGTTCTCACCTTTCATGGAGCAGAATAAGAGGACTCAAAAACCGCTGAAGGAAAAATTCAACTGCAAGATGCTAAGGGATATAACCTATTACTTGGGGTTGCAGATTGAGAGGGATGTTGAGAGGAGGTGGCTGAAGGTGCATCAATCACACTACATCTCTGGTGTCATAAGGCGCTATGGCGTGACTGGAGGTCACACCGTGATGACGTCGTTTTATGAAAGTTTCAAGCTAAAGAAGGCAGCAGAGGATGATGATGTGCTCGAAGATGAGCAGAAAAATGAGTACTAGTTATGCTTGGAAGTGTGATGTGTGCAGTTGTGTATACATGACTTGATGCTTCATTCGGAGTGGGGCAGCTGGCTAGAATTGTGCAGCGGCCCACAAGGAGCAGTTGGAGGTGGCAAAGTGCATGGTGCACTATCTCAGATCAACGACATCTGTTGTTGCTTTTCAGTTTTCAGCTGCTGGCCAGCTGAAACTGTTGGAAGTAGATGAGATCACACCTAGAACCTTGAAGCTAGTGTGCTTCACCGACATTACGCGGGCCTTGGAGGAGGAGCATTAATTATCTGTTGGTGGCTTTGTCTGAATGGTCGGAGGTGGACTAGAGTTGGACCGTCAAAGGCAGAAGCATCATGCGGATACAGCACGAAGGATTTGGCAGAAACATGTTCGTAACCGGTTCCCGCGTCGCACAGTTGTTCTTGCTACATTAAGGGAATGTAACACATAGAGTACATGGCTAGCTAGGATAGTTTCGTGTTCCTTTGTTTTCCTATATGAACCGATGTATGCATTTTTTATAATCACTTCAATCATTTTATATTCACTCTTATGTGAGGTCACTCTCTTCCGCTGCATTAACTCTGCGCGAACAACATGAGGCGATCCTAGCACGATCAATGTTCTGATCGTAACATGGTATGGGAGCGACTCATGAATTCTTCGCTCTGCCACCCCCAAAATTCGCAGCGAACCAAGGTGGCGCCCAGCACACGCTCGCGCATAAGGATGGCTAGAGGATCAAGAGGTCAAATAAATCTGATGGCTGAAGCCAACCCAATCCATTTGCGACATTTGAGGCAACGGCGACAGTCAGCTCCGTCGCACTTGAACAACTGCTTCACAGTAATCAACTCTTGAGCATGGGCTCCGGATATTGCGGAATGGCAACGCGGGAATTTCCTTGCAGCCTCCTCAACCGACCGCAACTGGCTATGAAACCGCCCTGCAAACCTTTTCTCTTGACAACAGTGCACCAATGCCCAAAGCCCCTTGCCCAAGCAATGACACCATTCTCTCAGCTCAATCAAGGTTTCTGAATATAATAAAAAGATATCACGAAATGCACAATATTTGATGTCAGAAAGTAGGAATCAAGAATGACTAGAAACACAACAGTAGCAAAACCTAACTGGGCTGTACCCCATAAAGAGTGCCCCACTACAGCCTAGAGCATAGTTCTGACACACCCCCATAGGCAAAGTGGGGGACAAGCAAGAGAACGAAGCAAGGTGAAGCCTAGGGTGGATCACAACGTCACCATGCATTCTAAGCACAAGCAAATGGCAACAAGGCCAGTTCACACGCAGAGTGATATATATAAAGGAGAACAAACAGGACAGTGATCACAACCTAGCAAGTGTGAGCACGCTGGTAAAAATATATAGATCACAGTACAAGTAAAGTCAAGAAGTGAGCAAGTGAGGCCAAGTAGACACAAGGCCTAGAACAGTACAAAACCGCTGATGATCACAAGGCTGAAGTGCCTTGGTGAAGATATCAGTAGTGTTGGCCTGAGAGGCCACGTAAACAAGACAAAGCTGACCACGCCGCTGCAACTCTCGAGCAAGGAAGTAACGCAAAGCGATGTGCTTCGTTCTGTGCTCCAGTCTATGCTCCTGACACAAAGCAATCATGGCCTTGTTGTCGACGTACAGAACTGGAGGAGAACGAGGCACCTCTCCGAAGTCGTCGACGTACACGAGGATGTAGAACGGTGGCAGCTAAGTGTCGGTGCGTAGAAACAGCGACGGGTCAGTAGTAGAGGGAGCAAAGCCAAGAGCCGTAAGGGTCCTCCTCAGTGTGTTGTGCTACTCGTGAGGCACCTGGCGGAGACCGTCGACTGGCCGCCGGAGGCTCCACTGGGTACCAGGAGGAAACGAACCAGTGAAGCCAGGTGGGCGGCGCAGCCTGATCTCCTCGTGTAGGGTGCCCTGTAGGAAAGCAGTGCTGAAGTCAAGAGAGTGAAGCTCATAGTGACGCTGAGCGGCGACGTGCAGTAGAACCCAAAGAGTGGTCATCTTCGGGGTCGGAGTTAAATTCTGGAAGATGTCAACTCCCTGTCGCTGACTGAAGCCTCGTGCAACGTAACGTTCCTTGAAAATCTACCTTGAAAATCCACATGCCACTGACGATGTTCGCCCCAGGTGGGGGAACCTCATCGACGTAAGTGCCTGTGCACTTCCTGGATGCCATCTCTGCGTCCATGGCTGACTGCCAGTGAGAGGAGTAGGGACCCTCAATCGCCTCTGTGTAAGAGCGCGGGGTCGGGATGTCTGGTGCATCCGGGTCTTCCTCACGTGCAATCAGCATGGACACGAGGTGAGGTACAGCAGCTACAAAGCAGTCAAAGTCCTCCTGCCTGTCCTCAAGGACGTCCATGCCAAGAGCACACTCACCCCCGACGGACGGAGGATAGAGAGACTCAGACTCAGCAACAAGACTAGCGGCGTAGTTTAGACGACAGCGAGCAGCAATGTCGACAACCTAAGCAACTAAGGGAGACGCAGCAGTGGACTCAAAGGAAGGGTCAGTGACAACAGTAGCTAGCAGACGCGTGACGGTAGGGCTGGTAGCACGAAGTGAGTCAGACTCGGGGTCCGGACCGTCAGCAAGGGAGGACGCAGGAGGAGACGGCAGAGGGACATGCAGCAGAACAGAGGAAGGACGAAGTGCCATTTGGTGCGTGCCGGGGACAGGAGGAGGACCCACTCTCAGGTGCGTCGAGACAAGACACCCGTAGGACCTCCAGAGGACAAAGTACCTCCACGCTCAGCATGGTTAGGCTCAGGACCCCCACGCTCCGCACACTCAGACTCAGCAACCCAAGGCTCAGCACCCCCAGGCTCCGCAGCCTCAAACAAAGCAACCCCAGGCTCAGCACCCATAGGCTCCGAACGCCCAGGCCCCTCACCCGCAGGCTCAGCGCCCCTAGCAGCACCAGACTCGACAGCTACCTCGACAGGCTCGACAGGGTCTACCTGGGACACACTTGAGGGTGCAGGACCCTGAGGGGGAAGGGGGTCTACCGGAGGATGACTTGGTGCTAGGAAGAGCGGCAGGGGGGGGAGAGGGGCAGTGCGGTAGGGGAAGAGATGGTAGTAAGGAACCGACTCGTCAAACGTGACGTCCTGAGAGGACAGAACACGACGCGAGGTGGGGTGGTAAAACTGCCAACCAGGCACGTCAGGGGGGAAGCCAAGGAAGACGCAGGGAACATCATGGGAGGATTGCTTGTCCGCGGAAGAATCGCGGACAAAAGCTCGAGATCCCTAGACATGGAACGCAGACGCATCGCCAACCTTCCCCTTCCACCGCAGAGCAGGTGTGGTCTCCGGCATGGAGACACGGGGCACCTCCGCAGGCGCAGTACCTGAGAGAGCAGACTCACAAGTACCTGGACCAGCAGACTCACTCGCACCTAGAGCAGCAGCCTCTATACCTGGGTCAGGCGGCACAAACAGGTAACAGTCACCCTCAGCACTAATAGTCACAGCATACATGGCAGCAAGGATAGCATCATAATCAAGATCAAAGATAGCAACACCAGACTGAAGCAGATCAGCCCAGCGAGGGAGCTCAGTGGCGTCAGGAAACAGTGCGCGCCACGCGTCAGTCAGGCAACCGAAGCAGCGCTGCGTCGCGTGTGGCAGCCCGCACGTCTCCCCACGGCGCTCGCCGGTGTGGAGAACGTAAGCGCAGGGACCAGCACCCCCAGACCTCCCACGCCCAGCGTACCACTCACGAAGCTGCTGGGGGGATGGGGCCTCACGAGAACGCGGCTGCTGCTGGCGCTGGCCACTACCAAAGCCTCCACGCTACACGGATCCACCCCGACCAGCACCACCGCCGCCACCACCCCCACTACCGCTGCCGCCGCCGCCCCCACCACCACCGCCGCCACCGACGCCACCAACGCCCCCACTCCCGCTTCCACCCCCACCTCCACCCCCACCCCCTCCGCCTCTTCCACCGCCACCAGCGCCGCCCCCGCCGTGCCCTCCACCACCCTTGCCCCCCTTGCCCTTGCTGCTGCGGCTCCTCCCACTAGTAGCAGACGTAGCGCCGACCACCTCGGTGCCAATGAGGTCGTCAGCAGTAGCAAAAGCAACAGAGGGGAAAAGGGGAACGGGGGAACACCCTCAAAGAAAGGGGCGCGAGGGTCGTTGCGAGAAGCTCCTACAGCAACTATGCTAGTCTCAGCTGCAGTGAGGGGCTCTTCGAGCATGTCTACGGTGAGCTCGGTGGGGCAAAGGGAGAGAAAGTGGTCCCTGACTGAGCGAAGAGAGTCAGGGAGACGGGTGACGAGGTAGAAGAGGGTGATGTACATGGGGGGGGGGGGTCTTGGCGCAAAACTCGTAGGGAAGCGCAGCGCGGTAGCGGGTGTCTCTAGTGCGGAGGTGAGTGATGAGGTCAGCGAATGTGGCAAAGGCGGCTAGGCCAGGGAACAAGTACGGCAGCATGAGGCGGCTGTGGGCAGCAGAGGCAGGAGAGGAGTAGCGTGCGACTATAGCGTCATACAGAGACTTGCAGTCTTGTACTGGCCTAAGTGCGCGCGCTCAGCAGACTGCAGGTGACTAAGAACAGCAAGTCAAGCAACAGCGTCACGAGTAGTCCACTGCGAGCGAACCGTACTGTCAGCGTCGGCTGCGGGTGCAACAGAGGCGCCGGACGTGTGATCGAAAAGTGAGACTCCGTCCCTAGAGTCGCACCAAAGACAGAGTTGCAAGTCATCCACCCAAACGTCAAAATCGACTGCAGCATCGAATATAAGAACAGTAGGACTAGCCATGGCGGCAGTAGCAGCAGGGGAGGGCGGCGCGGCTCGGCAGGGCGGCGCGGCTCGGCTAGGCGGTGCGGCGCGGCAGGCAGGCGGGCACAGCGGCGCGCTTGGTAGGGCGGGCGCTTACCAGGGGCGGGTGCAGCGCAGGGCCGCGACTGGCGGGCAGAGCAGGGCCGCGACAGGGCAGCAGTAGGGCAGGGCCGCGACGAGGCGGCGGTAGAGCAGGGGTGCGACGGGGCGGTAGCAGAACAGGGCCGCGACGGGGCGGCAGCAGGGCAGGGCCACGACAGGGCGGCTGCAGAGTAGGGCCGCTACGGGGCGGCAGCAGGGCAGGGCCGCGAAAGGGCGGCTGCAGGGCAGGGCTGCGACGGGGCGGCGGTAGAGTAGGGCCGCGATGGGTGGCGGCAAGGCACGGCCGCGACGGGGCGGCGAGGGCAGGGCCGCGACGGGGCGGCGAGGTCAGGCCGCGACGAGGCGGCTAGGTCAAGCCGCGACGGGCGGCGACAGGGCAGGGCCGCGACGGGCGGGTAGGTAAGGGCCGCGACGGGCCGTTAGGGCAGGGCCGCGACAGGCGGCGACAGGGCAGGGCCGCGACGGGCCGTTAAGATAGGGCCGCGACGGGCCAGGAGGGCAGGGCCGCTACAGGCGGCCGTAGGGCAAGGCGCGCGATGGCGCAGGTGAGACAGGCGCGAGGCGCGCTTCGGGCAGGGCAGGAAAAAAAATTATCATGGTGGGCCCTAAAAAAAAACTGTTCCCACTAGAGCACGTGCTCTGAAACCATGTCAAAAAATAGGAATCAAGAATGACTAGAAACACAGCAGTACTGGATTTGTATAGCAAAACCTAATTGGGCTGTACCCCATAAGGAGTGCCCCACTACAGCCTAGAGCATAGTTCTGACATTTGACAGCAAAGATTTCTATATCGGGAGCTTTGAGCTGGAGCTGTTGCTGCAGAACGCATAAATTTATCACTTTGTTAATAGCAGATTTGCAGGCCCATCGGCCGACACTGTCAACGCCAGAGCGCAGTACTAGAACGAGTCGCTCATGGCGTACATGTGCTGTTACACAACATGTCGCCGATGGAGCAGCTAGGCATTCACTCGTTTAAAACAAATCTTACTTTGGCACTGGAGGCCTGGCGTTACCTTACAAGGATGTACCAGCCCAAGAACTCAGTGTCGTCAAGCCGTTTACTTCAACAGCCGATGGAAGTAAAAAAGGGACCCGGAGAGAAGGCCAACAGCTACATCAATTGTTGCCGGAGCATACATAATCAATTTGTGAAGCACGCGAGCTCATTTTTGGGAGAAATCTTTGTTACCATTGTGCTTGGCCTCGAATGGCGACCCTGCAAGGCGTTTCTCCGGCAATATGGGGATATCCCAAAAGCCGCCCTTTGCCTCGATCTTCTCGTCAAACAGCTGGACATGGATTCGAATCGAGAGCGCCCCACGCCGCAACGAGAATGACACGCCTTCTACGCTAACAACAAAGAAGAGCAACGACCGCAGCGACATCACTACAAGATATGAAATAATTTTGGCCACTCTGCGGAGTGATGCAAATTCCGCTCTAGCAATTGACAGCACTCAGGCCTGCCAACAAGATGTGAAGCAAGATACGCGTCAAGCCCAGGGCTTTCAGCCCGCACCCTACGAACTCTTCAGTTCAGCACTAGCAGCAACAACCAGCACAATTTGGAGGCTTTCACAATGTCATCAGCAACATGGCGATGCGTCACATACGAGGAACCCGTCGTCGCCGTATGTGCACCCCGTTGCCTGAGCGCCAATTTTTGCTTCAAACAGCAACAATCTCACTTATTACCACAATTACAACAATGACGACAACCAGGACTGGAACCTACAAGTCCCCTTGCTCAAAAGCCTCCCCCATTTGCATGACCCCAGGCCAGCGCCCATCGATTGGATCGCGCGCGAACGCTTCTTAAAGCTAGACACGCCACGCATCGTCACGCCGCGACTCGTGCTCCTCGCGCGCAACGACGATAAGCAACAAAACACTTGGCCTCTTGACACCTACTGCGGGCAGCACATGGCGGGCTCCAGGCGCTACATCTCACACGCCATCCCCACCTCCACGATCACCTATATCACCGTGGTGAACAACAAGTGACTGCGGGCAAACGCGCAAGGGATTGTCGTCCTCAAAGCTCACAGTAGCACTATGCATGTCATACTAAATGACGTGTTCATCATGCAGAACCTACGATTTAACCCCCTCTCGGCGTTATAGTTGACTGATTGCGGGCATCTGCAGCGGCTGCATGGCGTCCGGCCTAGGCGAGAGCATCGACCTTACTCCCCACCTCGCCACCTCTAGCGTGGGACCCATATGCCATCGAACACGGGTTTTCAAGGAAAGGGGAGTGGATGTGTGCCAGGGAGGGTTTAGGTTATGGTGGTGATAGATGGCATGGTAGGTGGCATGCGTAGCAATGCGGATGCATGTTGGGTGGGTTATGGCTGTTGCATACCTTATCCTTTGTTTCCTCCGCCCCCCTCTCCTGTTCTGCCATGTGTGTTGGCAACCAGGTGAAGCTGAGCTATGACCTGCTGATTGGGCTACACTTCCACAAGGTGTGCACACCACTTTCCCGCTGCTGCCTTGTGCTCATGCACTGTGCCACCACTGTATGACTTCACTCATGCACACACATACATGGATGTGCTGACCATTTTTCCCCACTACCTAGAACATCTCACACCTACACATGCCGCCCAGGCGCACCAGCTGGATCTCTCCAACCCTAATGCTCATCTGCTCCCCGTTTCCTCTTCCCCCCCAGCCCCTCCCCACAGCTACAAGACGACTACGAAGTGGCATTTGTGGAGGGCTGCCTGCACCCCTCCTCCTGCGCGCCGCCCTCCGCCTCGCTCTCCCTGCTGCCCCGCATCACCGGCCCTTCTCTGCTACCTGCACCCTCGGGGTCAGGGGCAGGAGCCCAAGGGGCAGAGTGGGAGGAGAAGGGGCAGGGGGGAGGTGGAGAGGGAGGAGTGGGAGCGGAAGAGGGAGGGGCGAGCAAGGGGGGAGCGCGGCCACTGATGGAGCTGGTGCCGCTGGAGGGGGATGGGGAGGAGGCCAACCGGTGGGCGGTGATGGTGCGTGATGTGAAGCTCTCCGAATTGAAAGTGCTACTGCAAGCCTAGGGACTCCAGGTACCCTTGTCCTACATGCCACACAGCCAAGGTCCATCCTTCAATGTGATGCCAACCTCTGTTGCGGGTGCACTCTTAACGTTTTTACCGCTACATCTTATTCTCTCTCCCACCATTTCTTGATGCAGGCTGGGTTCGTAGGCTCGGACTCTGTAGCAACTGAAAGGTCTTGAAGGGTGGTGCTTCTCTTGCACTAAGAAAGGTGAACTTGCCATATTGTTTCTGCTTGAAGCACCACCTCACCACCCCCACTAGCTATTGTTGAGATATGAACCTTTATGAAGAAACATTCATGTAGGCTACAGGAGCCGACCTTACTGCGAACAAAGACGAGGTGTCAGAAGAATTGAAACGACACCAGCAAGTGTCAAATTGAGACTGATGTAGGCAGAAACATTTGAGGTGAAAATGGCGGGAAAATGTTTGAAACTGTTGGTGTAAGGGCCTAATAAACTCAAGCTATTAAGACTTTATCACACTTAAAACCTCTCCTCGGGGTCACCTCCAAGGGTCCTTGGGTGCCTGGTACAAGACCAGCCCCTATCCTCGGGTCCGAGTTTGTAGAGAGAGGGATCAAGAGGGACTTAGTCAAAACAGCAAGAGTACCTTGAACGTCGCGCAGCGTATCGTGCAGACCGTCGATCGGATTAAGCTGAGAATTTCCTATATCGAAGCTCACTCTAAGAGCTTTAAAATAAGCCAAGTTGCCTCGCGAAAAGTTCTGCCATTACGAAGTTATGGCTCGGACAGCGTTAGCCTAGCGTTGGAGTGCTAGCGTACTAGCGTTGACTCGGGTAGCATTCCGCCGTCGCACCGCGTAGAAAAGAAATTCCAGCAAGGAAGGAATTTGCTTGAATCAATTTCACTATATTCAGGTACAAACAGAGAAAGAATAAATAGCTCTAGCTAGCAAGGACCTTGGGAATCAACCTGGGAATAACCAGGGATGATCCCAAATAATTCCAAGCAACAGAACCAACCTGGCTGGACAAAATAGCAGGTGGTAGGTTGGTGAACAACCTCTGGTTCTGTTTTTCCAACCTGGGAAAACAACAACCAGGTTCAGGTCCTAAAAACAGAACCTGTTTTGTCTTTGCCCAACCAGCCAAATGCTGGTTCCGCTGGTTTCCCCTGGCCCTCTAGCATGCAGATACAGACAAACAACATCCAACCTTCACCTAAATTGTACCCCTATAGTGCCTGCCCTGCTACACTATAGTCAACCAAACAAAACAGTACAATTTCGAGTTGGATAGAACTGAATCTGCGCAATCAAGTAAGTTGAACCGCAAAGCTTCCATCTTGGGTTCCTTTGCGAGCTCGTCCTTTCTGCTTGTACTGTTCATAGCGCGTACAATGTTATGCCGAAGCGCACATTGTGCGAGTACCTGCGAATGCTTCAAGCGAAAATTGCGAAAGCAAACAAACACACAAACATACCATTCACACGCAAATGCATTCGCACACGCATACTCGTACAAACAGACGGCAGGATGTCGTGCAATGTGAATTTGCACCCAACACACTCCCCCTCAGCCTGCCGGCTGCATCCCCATCATTCCATACTAGTTCATGCTCATTCCACTCATGCGCACACAACGCCAATGAGACTCATCCGCAAGCCTCTTGGTGAGGAAGTCTGCTGGCTGCTGGTGAGTCTTGATGTAGATCGGATTCACCGTCCCCCTCTTCACCTCCTTACGCAGCCAGTGCCACTTGATACGCATGTGCTTATTCAGCCCATGAAGCACAGCGTTCCTGGCCATCCCAAGAGCTCCCTTGCTATCACAAAACAGCGGCGTAGCAACCTTTTGCTCCTGGCCAA